TTATCTTATCCACGTTTTCATTGTGGATCTACATGAAATATATATATATATATATATATATATATATATATATATATATATATATATATATATATATATATATATATATATATATATATATATATATTATTTAAACGCCCAAATTATTGTAAACACAAAATAACCTCCCCTAAGCCAGATTTAGTCACTAAGGCGTCGTCTTGAAAAACAATGAAACTAAATTAAACAGGACGATTTGAACTGATAGAGGTCATATACATGATGTAAGAACACCTCTCTAAGGTAGGGCATTCCACAGAATACTGGTCCGAGGATAATAAATGAAATATAGTCGGCAGGGGTTCTGCAAATTCGATTTTCGACTAGTCATGGGCCCTCCCAGACTACAGTACTTCGCAGGCCAATTGATAATGTGTGGTGGTAGTGCTGAGTGTAGCTCGCCATAACACTGAAGGTGCAAATATCTACAAAATAACAGTCAATTGTGTAGTGGACAAAAGTCCAGTTGTATTTTCAGGAGCGGTGAGACGGGTATGATGGCGAGGATAACCTAATGATCTTCCGTCCCACCAAAATAGGTTAAGTTAGACCTCGCTCGAGTCTCGCCTGACTCATCATTATGGTAAGTACTGCTCGACCACTTTCTCTCTGGTTACTCTTCTGCATTATTTTGCCAAGTATGTTGTGCAAGTCTTTGAACATTTAAACAGTGATTGAAAATATGAAGTGAGAATCGTCTCGTCGGTTGCGTAAACTTTATCTGGGAAAATGAAAAAAAAAAGTTATCTTGAAATAATCAAATGAATAAATAAATGCGTTTGATTAAATTAGTAACAACATAACCTAAGCAATGACGTCTAATCCAAAAAAAAATAACTTGGTCTTAAATTCAATCTCAAAAACTTCCATCATAATTAATACCAGTGATAGTAATAAAATATGTTCCACTCCTATATTAATATTACCTAGTTCTCTCATATAGCCTATAGTGTCTAGTACAGGATGTCAAAAACAGCAATAAACATTAGTTCTGCACACTGAGCAAAAAATAGTACGATGTTGTGTAGCTTGTTTCATTATCAATGTTGAGGGTTGATTACCAGACCAGAGCGAGATTTCATTGTTGCATGAAAGAGGAAAATTATTTATGTATGAAAGGGAGATTATATCAATTGTTGTTCTCCAGGTAGAGCGACAGACACTCGCTAACATTAGTCAAAGGTGTGGTGTGGCCAGTGTGTCAGGGAATTCATACGTCATGGGTGCAGGTGCCTCGGAACGTGCCCTGCATCCCACCGCACTCCGACTAGGCTTGCTGCTGCCCCCATGGTCGAAATTACCTTCCCCATAACGGTTGTGTCCGCACGCCTCAAGAAATGGAGTTATTGGTTGGTGTTACAATGTTAAGGAACTATGCTTATTGGTGGTGTGGGTGAAGGTGGAGATGGTGTTGATAGAGGGGGAGGATTGAAGTGGTGGTGTGGGTCACGTGGATGTGTTGACAGGGTGGAGGGAGGACGATATGGTATAAGAGGCGTATCCCGGAAGAGTAAGGCACTAAAACATGGTACAAATAAAAATATACAAACGCAACGATTACTTCCCCAATGTACTTGATGAGGTATAATTCTAAAATATAACGTTATAACTAAAAAAATGTTTCGTTTTTTATTTATTAATCACAGCAATACATTTAGGTGAACGTTAAATGAGCCTGACACATTGAGATCCAATATCCAAGGAAAGAATCATGATTGGTCTGATGTCTGAAATAGTGTCGGGTCACAAGGGTCACAGATCCACAACCTGCAGCCAACAGGTGCTACGCTTGAGGCACTTATTTATAATAATGTGGTGTGGAGTTCCTTTTCCTAACTACCCTCCTTAGGTTTACTATGAAATTACATTTTCATTGGTTGTCTTTCCCATTCTCGGCTTTTATTGAGTCGTGATTTACATGGAGCCACTGCAGGTTACCACCCGTCTTAAGGAGGACACGAGGCCTTAAGCTCAAGTTAACTCGTTTTTAATTCTACTGTCAGACATACTTACTCCCGCCTGCATTCATCAAACATGGGAGTGAACTAGTTTGTGTGTGTGTGTGTTTGCTTTTTATTTCTTTTATTCCATCCAGTATGTTATGGCCCAATGACCGGGTTGTGGGGATCAAATGGAAGAAATGTTTACCTTCCGTCCTGAGGTCGCTGTATCGCGCCCGGGGCACCTCCACCCAGTTGTGAATGGGTACCTAACTTGACAATTGATAAGTAAAGGTGGTCGAGACCAGTGCCGGCTTAGTATACGGTCCATTGACAATGTAATAGCGTATAACATAGTTTTGTCTGGATATGACGGAATATATACAGTATATATTTTTTCATTTATTGGGCACCCACTACATCCTTGTGTTAGGTGAAGCGCAGAAGCGTTTACAGCGCCCAACAGGGAAACATGCTAAGTTCATGCTTGCCTTATGTCTCATGAGTTAAGGGCGTAGAAGCCTGAAGAGTCAATGGTTTATGTCTAAGCAAGTTATTGGAAGTTCCAACAACTTGTCCCTGAATACGAATTCGCAACTTTCGACTTACAGCAGGTACCTACTTTGCTGCTAGGTGAACAGGGACCAAGGGGACAAGGAAGAGTGTCCAAACAACTTTCGTCGGCCCGGGAATCGAACCCGTGACATCTTGCTTGCGAGGCAAGAACGGTACTGCATGTCAATTTCATGATACTAATTTTACATCTCCCATTTCTAAAGATCAGCAAAAAGTCATAGCACGAAATATGATAAACCAGCGATTGGTTGGCGGACGGTCAAGGGTCATGTATTTCGATCCAGTCTGCCGACGGTATTTTCATGGCCGCGGATGAATGTTAATTTAAGTTTTATATTGATACCGCAGGTAGTGGTCGATATGTTTAGACACCATCGACATATGAGTACTTCAAACATACGCATTCATATTTCAAATATATTTTTAATACAGTAACACTAAATTAATACGTTGTTTAGAAATTACTTTGTCCATGGATATCTCTAAGAAACTTTATAAACGTTGAGAATAACCAAACATTAAATGCGGGAAATTTGTCTCCCTGTGAGAGCAACAAAACCCACTCGAAAGTACTTCAGGACCCAACGACTACCTTCGGAAACCTTAATGTGAATGTTTCAGTGTACACATACACACACGTTTGTGTGTGTACAATTGGCCGAAATAACTAATATTTTCTGTTGATTGCTGTAAGGAGCTTTAACCTTCGCCGTTGTCAATTGAAGTAAAGTATGTACAAAGGCGGAACCAGGAATAGGGAGTGGGGTGTGGAGGAAGAGTGTGGGGTGTGGAGGAAGAGTGTGGGGTGTGGAGAACAGATCAAAGGGGGTCTAAGTAGTGGGTGGGGAACATTGCGAGCACAGTGAGGCCACCCAACTAGGGGTTGGGGGGGGGTGTAAGAAGCCCCCTCCCCCAGATTTTTTTTTTAAATAGGACCAATATCATGGGCATCTAAAGGCCATTTTGAAGCCATGTACAATTCAGCCAAAGATGCACCGACCCCACCCTGAATCTCGTGCTCGCAATTTTACCTGACAATACTTGGTAAAGTAAGGCTGTATGTAAAGGTGATTGTGATTGGTGGATCTATTTTCGGCTGTATCACTGCCAGGATAAATATTAAACAATCAAATGGTAGAATTATTATAATAATAAACAATTCATTGTTATTTAAGGTCATAAGAAGTTTCCAAATGTTCGTATATTTGCTTAAATAATGAAGAAAATTTGATCTGAGAATCTTGTGGCAGTCCTCGTTCTTCGTTGTAGTTGAGTTGCCAATTCATTAATATAATTTCTTCATTATTTAAGCAAATATAAGAACATTTGGAAACTTCTTTTGATCTTAAATAACAATAAATAGTTTATTATTATAATAATTCTACCTTTTGATTGTTTAATATTTATCCTGGCAGTGATACAGCCGAAAATAGATCCACCAATCACAATCACCTTTACATACAGCCTTACTTTACCAAGTATTGTCAGGTAAAATTGCGAGCACGAGATTCAGGGTGGGGTCGGTGCATCTTTGGCTGACTGTACACTTGATATTAGAAAATATTCTGAGGTCAATAGTAATTCCTTTTTATTATACATAAAACGTGTCTGTACAACACGGTACTGCATTAAGGCAAAAGTATTGGAATTTTCTTATTAAAGGAAGGGGGGGGGGGTGTTCCGGCCCCAGGAGCATCCCTGGATCCGCCCTTGATGTAGACTAGAGAAAACCAATAACATGAGCCTTACACCTCGTTCGTGGGTACTTTGTAAGTGTAGAAGTTCCCATCCGCATTCGATCTGTATCAGTAAGAAATTTATAAGTTAATAAATATGTGGACTATTCAGTATCTCCTTGTCAGGTAACTCTTTCCAGGATCTCTGCTGAAATTAAGAGTTTTAGTTTTTAATGATTATAATGGTGTTGAATTTTAATTATATATTGCTGAGAAAGTGAGAACAACCAAGACACATTAAACATAACTGGGATGTCGTATAAGTAGTACAGTAATAATAGCTCAAAGTTAACTATATGCATTCAACAATATAAAGGGACCAAATATAATTATACAATATAATGACAAAGTAGGAAAAGCCTCTTAGCTAATGTCAGTTAACAAGAAAGCCTCATCAAATATAAAAAAAAAACCTAAATTCATTATTTCATATTTATACGGTGCCTAAAAAAATTTCACTTGGGGGAATTATAAAATAGAACTCTAAAAGAATATTGTGTTCGTGTTCTTGATGATAGTCAAGGGTAAATAGTCTCGGAATGCAAATATTCAACCAGATTAGTGATTGAGCGGGATTTGAATTCTGGTCTATGTTATTCTAAATGTAAGAGTAAATCATTACAGTAATGTGTTTACAGGAATTATTCAGGATCAGATAAAACCGAAAAAAAAATGCATGCAAAATGAAAAAAAGGTGTGGTGGTAGTACCTGTGATAAACACGAAGTATCTAGAGGTTTAACGTAACAGATGATGATAAGAGCGACGGAGGTGATAGCCACAATGGTAAGGATGAGAATACGGTTGGCTTGTGAAGTGTAGAGACCTATCAATGTCACCACAGCTACTAATATCATCACAGCCACTCCTACCGCCAAGCCTCCCAGTGCTATGTAGCAAGTGTCTATTCTTGATTCACGCATTGCCCGTCGTTGTAGTTCTTCTGTATTCAACACATCACTCGTAACTGCCACTGTTATCGGTGAAATGGAAAACATTGTGGTGCTTAATTGAATAATTTACTTCAATTCCAGTGGTGGCACAGCCGAGGTCCACTGTCGCCGAGGTCCACTGTCGCCAAAGTCAGGGTGAGTTCTGTGGGTGGTAGGCTGCGCAGGCTCGAGACACAAGACCTTCGTTACCTTCTTGTCTCATGCTGTACACGTAGTGTTGCTTCAGAATATTTAGTGCTGTTCCTTCCCTCTCTTCACTTTACCATTGTATTAATCTCGTTTTGTCTCTTCCTCGCTTTCAAGCTGTTTTACTGCTCGCAAGTTGATGTTTTAAATGCTTTCCGTACGAATAATCTGTTGCAGAGTTAACATGAAAGCAATTCTCTGTTTAAAGTATGTTGATACGATGTCGAAATGGCCTCTGCTATTCTGACAAGTAGCTCCATTTTTTTTACTGGCAATCTCTTACAAATCGGCTGCTATAGATACCACACCCTGGCCTCTGGAACTAGCCATTTAAGTATACTGGCACTATGTGTAGCTAGGTTAGGTTAGGATAAAATACGCTATATACTTCATTACCAATGGGTTTTTATCCGGTTACTTTATTTCCTGGTGTCGTCTTACAGGTGAAATAAAGCTAAGTATTTCTTAGTTTCAACGATTTAAAAGGAATCGACATCATGCTAGACAGCATTTTGAATAAGCAGTTTTCATTTAATGTCAGAACACTTCATATATTCGCGAGTGACTTCGTATGTCAATATATATAGTAATAACAATTACAAGATGCAGTTATGGACAAAATCCCCTGTATCATAAGTAAAATATGATATCATTCCAGGTCTTGTAAATAATATTTTCAACATAGCAGCAGTGCTCCCTCTTTTTGGGGAAATGTCCCTAGATTTGAAAATTTGGATTTGTCTAGGCCAGGGGTCACCAAACTACGGCCCGCGGGCCGGATCCCAAGTCCTTCCCCGGCTCGTGGTAGCTCCGCCTACGCTCTGACGTTACCAGAGCTTTCGTTCTGGCTTGCAAGTATTGAATAGAATGATTATGCGGCCCGCGCTCGTCATTCTTTCAGTTATCCGGCCCACTGTGAAAAAAGTTTGGTGACCCCTGGTCTAGGCCAATGACAAGTCAAAGACGGGACAAATTTCCCGCCTAAATACCAGCTGTTTAGTCGACACAGTCGGCCCTCTTGAACAAGGGCAACCAATAACAATCCAGAATGAATTTCAACTGTCACTTACTGAAGTACTAGTAATAATAATAATAATAATAATAATAATAATAATAATAATAATAATAATAATAATAATAATAATAATAATTATTATTATTCACACGATAGTGTATTTGCATACTTTTATAAATGATTGTCATTCAACAAACAAGATTTCCCACAAAGGCTGCCTTGACAAAATGTGAAAGCAATGTGTAGAAACGGAGATAAGTCATAATTAATGAGTAATTGAAATCTTAAAAACAAAACAAAATATGCTGTACTGTGTGCCCAGAGCAAGAAATGTTTCTAATTTTATGCAGTTATGCATTTAAGAAGTCTATTTCTGCCATGATGCAAATTTCAATAGTGCTTTTTATTTTGTACCATTATTTTGATGATTATCTGGAAATATAACAAGTTGTGCTATGATTTACAAAGTAAATAATTAAATATACATTTATGAAAAGTAAACATAAGAAGTATTGTTTCGTTTATTTGACATGAATAAATACACATAAATTATCACTTATTTTGTATCGTTTACTTTATAAAATTACTGTATTAAATGTTTGATTGTTAAATCAAGGGATTACATGTTTTAGACAGTGAATTATTTTGTGATTGATTTTACCTGGAATAGTTTAATAAGACTGATGTTTATTTCAGGGGTTCTAATGTTTGTTGTAATTTGTGTACTTGATTGGGGATATCAGAGTCATGCCTTGTGGATTTAATGAAGAATTATCTATTCATGAAAAGATAAACATTTGAATACGAGAGGAACCTTCATTTGTGGAACTGTAATACACGAAGATAAGTTGTAGTAAGGGAAGCTCACTAGTGTCAGAGGTTCATTTATAGATATAACACCAGCTGTAACAAAAGGGACAAATATTTAACGAATCTAACAAAATTAGGAAGCCTTACATCTCAGCGGCGGATCAAGGAATATCAAAGGGGTGAAGGGGAGGGAGCATGGCGAGCACAGTGAACCCACCCAGCTGGGTGTAGCCCCCCATGTTTTTTTTTTTAAATCTGACTAACATTATGGGCATTTTGAGGCCATTTTGAAGCCATGTGCACTTGATATTAGAAGATATTCTGAGGTCAATCGTAAATATTTTTTATTATACAAAAACGCCTGAGTACTGCATTAAAGAAAAGGTATTGGAATTTTCTGGTGAAAAGGGGAGTCCAGACCCTCCAGGATCCCCTCCTTGTCCCGTCTCTATGCCTTAGCACCGCCCACCGTGATGAATTACCTATGATTACCTTACCTGGCTAAACCTCGTTGGCCTGCCCTCCCTTCTCCTACCTTCCTCTCCACTAACCTACTCTATCGTGCTCTCCCTTTCCCTACCCTACTTTCCCCTCCCCTAACCTATCCTACCTTCCTTTCCCTTAACCTACCCTACCTTGTCCTCCCCAAACCTACTCTACCTTGCTCTCCCCTAACTTACCTTACCTATCTCTCCCCTAACCTTGCTCTCATCAAACCTACCTACTGTGCTCTCCCCTAAACAACCCTCCTTGTTCTCCCCCAACCTATCCTACCTTGCCCTTCCCTAACCTACCCCACCTTGCCCTCCCCTAACTTACCCTACCTAACCTCTACCGTGCTCTCCCTTATTTTACCCTCCCCTCCCCTACCATTCTTTTCCCTGTCTTCCCCTCCCCACCCCTGTGCTTCCCGACCCTACCCTAACCTAACCTGATCTCCCTTCTCTCTACTCTCCCAAACCTTTCCCTCCCCTAAGCTGCTCTTTCTTTCACGACCCAACCCTATCCTACATTACCCCACCCTACGCTGCTCTACACTCACTTCCTTATGCTGCTCTACTTGTACCCAACCACTCTTTCTCTCTTACTCCATACCCCTTTTCCTTCATTTATTCTCTCATTCATTTATTCACTGTTTAGTCCCTCTCTCTCCTCTCCCCATTCTTTTTCTTTCCTTTCATTCTCTTCATTCATACTAACATCAGTCCGGTTTTCTATAACAGGAGTGGAAGGCAGTGTATTGGGCCCACTGTTGTTTGTTTCATAAATGACATGCCTGACGTTGTACACTCCTCCATACAAATGTTTGCCGATGACGCCAAGCTATTTCAGGAAATCAAGAACCAAGCGGACTGTGAAGAGCTGCAGGAAGAGCTGCAGAAGGACCTCTGTGGGCTCCAAGAATGGTCGAAGAAATGGCTGCTGAGATTCAATGTCACGAAGTGTAAGAGGATGCACCCGGGGCGTACCAACGGTAAGGAGGCGAATCCTATGTCCCAACGGGATGAAGAAACTGCACTATTTGAGACTGAATGTGAGAAGGACCTAGGTGTGTATGTTGACAATGAGCTGAAGTTCTCGGGCCATTGCGAGAAGAAGGTAAATCAGGCAAATAAATTATTGGGTCTTATAAGAAGGTCGTTTAGATATCTAAACGGTCCGTCCCTCATAACGATCTTCAGGAGTGAAGTGCTTCCCCATCTGGAGTACTGTCACCCCGTCTGGTTCCCGAGATATGCTAGGGACTGTCAGTTGGTTGAAAATGTTCAAAGGAGGGCCACCAGACTGGTGCCTGCACTTCGGCACCTCAACTACTCTGAGAGATTGGAGTGCCTGAACTTGCCTAGCTTATACTACAGACGGGCAAGGGGTGACCTAATTGAGGTGCATAAGCATCTCAAGGGGCACTACTCAGTCGAGTGTCCTTACTTGGAGCTGGCGGACGCTCACCCCACAAGGGGTCACAGCTCAAGATTGAAGAAGCTGCAAGTCCGGAAAACTGTGAGGGCAAACTTTTTCGGAGTGAGAGTTGTAAACTCTTGGAACAATCTACCAGAAAGTGTTGTGACGGCACTGAGTGTGAGCTCTTTCAAGACAAGACTTGACCAACACTGGACCAGGTTCAGGTACATTCAGGAGCCGGTGCATGCCCAGTACTTGCCAACAGTGCGTAACAGAGACGTGACCGATCGCCCAAGCGGCTAATGAGTCGATTATTTGGTGAAAAGGATAAAAGAAAGGAAAAAGTAACAGAAACGTGACCGATCGCCCAAGCTGCTAACAAGCCGATCAGTGGTGAAGAGGATAAATGTAAAAGTAAGTAAAAGTTACTGCTAAAGTTCCACTGTGACTATAATCATTATTCTGGTCCAGTGATTTGGTAGGCTTGTGCTTGCTTTACTTCCTCTTCTAGACAAGTTAACTTACTCATAATCTTGGTGTAATGTGTCAGTCCCTTCACGAGTGTGTCTGAGTAAGTTCCAGAGGCTGATTGCAAGCAAGGTCAAGTCAAACGCGAGTAGGTGTATCGGACCTGAGGCTTGAAGTTAGAAGTAATGCAGATTTTGACCAGGACAAGGCGAAGGCATTGAATAAATTTTTTCTTCAGTGTTCACAAGAGAGGATACGAACAATCTTCCTACGTTTGAGGACAGACTGTTTGACACAGAGCTGACCCACATTGTGTTCTCAGACGAGGTTATAAGAAATAAACTGTCAAAGCTAGATTCACAAGAACCCCAGCCCAGATATGGTGCATCCCAGTGTGTTAAGAGAGTTGTGCAACGAGCTTGCTGAGCCCCTGAAGATCCTGTTCTGCAAATGCCTGGATGAACAAAAGGTCCCGAGTGATTGGAAAGTGGCTTATGTGAGTCCTATCTTCAAGAAGGGCGATCTTCACTCCACGAATAATTATAGACTAGTGAGCCTGACCTGCATAGTATGTAAAATATTTGAGAGCATTATAAGAAATGTCATGAAGGAACATTTACTACAAAACAACCTTGCAAAGGATTGCCAACACTGTTTTATGCCGGGGCATTCCTGATTAACACAATTTCTCAAGGTACTGGATGCTTGGACCCATATTCTGGAACAGGGTGGCAATATTGACAATATGTATCTAGATTTTGCCAAGGCTTTCG